GAACTTCTGTGGGGGACTGTGGCTGTCTTCTACTGCCCCGAAAGACCTTCTCTTTAACTGGAGAATCCTCTCCCAGTGCTGCTGCAGTAAAAGGACTCGTCGTTTCCACAAAGGTTGCTCCTTGCCCCTTCAGCCGGCACTCGTAGGACTTGGACACAATGCCTACAAGATAAAATAGGCTGTTAACACGGTATCACGGGAAATATCAGTTCATTACTTTAACAAATTGTAGCTTAAATGGAAAAAAATTCCCTGACAATTTTTAGATTTCACTGGCAGAAAACACAGATAAAATGAGCAAGCGAACAAAAACAATTTGCATGTTTTCCAAATAACATATTTACAGGTTGAAATAATTGCTGAGTTTAACAATTCTGCAGCCTATTAACAATTTAAATGTGTTTTTTAAAATATGCTGCATAAAAAAGCCCAGATAAATACAGTATACAGTTAAAAGCCATTAGCACATCTTTCATAGAAGATCCTATCGGTGATATTTCAGTACTTCAGTAATGAATTTTAGGATCATATATTACATTAAACATATCTGGATGTGAAAAACTGTGGCTGATCTTCTTAATACCCTGCTTTTGCTGGCGAGGTAATTGCCATGCTGTCATTTTGATGCCATTGTCTTCCCCTTCATTTCCCACCTAGCATCTTCTCCAGCACACCTGACTGACTCAGTCACTAGCCTACTCACCTGGAGAAAACACTCGGTAGTTTTCTTACCCTAAAGCAGGATATTCTATAAAATATCATCCAGAGAAACCTCAGTTACACTTCTTAATTATTTCTACCTGAAATCAATTAAGAAATTAAAATACCTGTAACCTCCACATTCCAACTGCTTGCCCTGCCACTCGGCCTGCTGTTGGGTCATGGAAGGTTTCCTTCTCGGTCCTCATCACTAACAACAAAGCTTCAGCAAAGCCAATAGTGCCCAAGGCTGCACAAAGTCAAGCCCATCGTCCCCAAAGCATGGCCTCAGGGCGGCCTTCGGTGGTTTTGGGAAGACACAGCTGAGAGCGCCCTGTGACTACCTTTCTGGAGGTCCGCGGCAAACCGGCTCTGGCACGGGCTGTCTCCCCGTGGCATCATCCTGAAGCACCCCGGCAGCTCCCGCCGGTGCTGGGAATCCAGCTTGGGGCCACAACTGGTGCACACCGAGAGACGAGTGGGTCCTGGACACTGAGAACAAGGTGAGGGTCCAATGCCAGCTGGGCCTTTGGGAAGGCTGATTGCGCCCATGGGACTGCCCACACCCACCCCCCCGGCTTAAATTCACCTACACAACCCAAAATCTCATCTCCGGAGTAACGGGTGTAGCGCCTTATCGCGAACACACATAGATACGCCATGGCTTGTTTGGGGTCAAACGAGTGTGGAAAAAAATGGACTCTCAGTTGAGTCCGTTGAGTTTCAGGCCACCACTGTACTTCCCAAGCCACCAAGACACTTCTAGTGAACAACACGCTCTGCAGAGCGCAGGAGGCCAAGAAAATTATGCTAAAGCTGGTCTAAGGCAGCAATTTCACCCAAAGCATAGAGCTGTCAGGCCCTGATCCCACACAGAACTAAACTTTTCTGGTTTTTTCTTCTAAAAGCCAGAGACTCCTTCGCTTAAACATAAGTTCACACTTAGGAGCTGTGTTACTCCGAGGCTGAGTCCTTGGCATCTTGCAGCCTCTAGCAACCTGACACGCTGAGGTGCCTATCAAGCTGATATTCCAAGATAACACCAGTGCTTAAAAGACCAAGCTCTTGCTGGCATCCATCCATCCGTCCGTCCGTCCGTCCATCCATCCATCCATTCATCCATCTATTTTTTTTTCTATTACAAAGCTTCTGGTGGAGAACTGTCCTGTGCAGCACAAGAAGTAATTTGGTTAAGCTGAAAGGCTGCAAATCACCTTCGCAAGTCTAAACTGACGTTACACAACTTTTTCCACCTTCGTTTGCAAGGCAGGTTATCTTTGGAAAAGAAAATTAACAATTTAAACCATCAGAGTGTTTCCAAGTGATGCTGGATGATAAATCTGGCACGTGCAATTGAAGTACATTTTGTCAGGCGTAAGCGAGAAGGGAGCTCACTGTGGTACGACTGGCTCTCATCCCCACTTTTCCTGTGCTCTCTGTAGGCACTGACATTCACAAGACCCCCCAAAGAGCAGAAAAACAGCAAGGGGAGCTCAACATAAAATGACAATTATCTTAGCTCCTCCACATTCTATAATAGAGTAGAAGTAATTAATTCTCTCAGGAATCTTGCTTTGTTGACATGATGAAAGAGGAGCCTGGCAGTGATGTGGCACAAAATCAAAATAACTCTACAAATCATGCATTTTCCACTGGATTTCAAAATCAAAATAACTCTCCGATCATAATTTTCACAGGCGCACAGCAAAATCGTGACATCCTTCCCCTAAGATCACGATAATTTATGTGCGGGACACAGCACCGCTGCATCGAGGAGAAGCTCCAGTCTGGGGAAGGGAAGGAAAAAGGAAATTCACCCTGTTTTCAGCTCCTCAAATAAATGCCGTGGCTGCGAATCTGTGCAACTCCAGCTTTCACCGTGCAATCGAATGGGAAGTCTCCTGGGTGAAGAGCTACCCGGTGAATCCCTCGCAGCACTGATAATTATGCCATTCTGACTGCTTACTTAATCTATTTGAATCCAGAGGTGAGTTAAGCCACTTCCTGACCATTAAAGTAAACTACATGGGTAAATACTGCTGTCACTAAGGGGTGTGATGAAGCTTAACTACACCAACATCTTAACCTCAGCTCCGTGCAACCCCAGCTATTCCATCACAGTTCATAAATGCGACTGCAGGTCCATCTTTTGATTCAGCAATTTAATAACTTCGAGTGCTGTCAGTACTGCTTTGAAAAATGGCTCCTATAAAATGTAACAGCCTCAATCAGATTGTAAAAGATTCACCCACTGAAGATTCTTCCATTTCAACTATAATGAATTAATGTTGAGCCGTGTAGAAGTTCAAGTGTCATTTAAACTAATGTGAATCTACTGTAACTTTAAATTTTAACTGGACTATGACCAAGAATTTACTGGGAACATCAGCTTCAATTTCAGTGATTTTTCATGGTAAATAGGAATTGCAGATTGTACTGGTTTTCTTTCGCTTTAACAGTGAAAAGCCAAGTAGGGAAGATATGTAGAAAACAACATGTTTCGAGGCTTAGCTGCTATTTCGACCCTGGAACAGTGCATTTCTATAATGGAGCGCTGCTATCCAACACAACTTTTGCCGGGATTTTTATGTATTTAAGGAACATGTCACATTATTGGACCGTACGCAGCAACAAATCACGTTGTCCTACTAAATCCAGCCTGCCTCTCGCCCCCTCTTAAAAACGGGTAAAGAGAAGGGTAAGTGTTGGCTGACATGGCAAACATAAGCTGCAATACAAGCCCACATTAATATCAGGAGAAGTGGACTTGTTGCTGATTGCGTGTCACTGCGAATTAAAAGGATACACAAATAGGCATTAAAATGACAAAATATAATGATACGAGAGCTCATATTCAGACAATTTGTAAAGAGGTGTTTCATATCTAGGGGTGCAATGATCACAGAATTGGTTTCTTTCCAAGAAGTCGTCATTTCAGCAGAGCTGTTATTTATCAGTTGGAGTCCTGAGCGACTGTTAGTTTTTTTATTTGAAAATGTCAGGATTTTTTAGACATTAAATCCATATTCGCCGGTTATTTTAATTCTCAGAGACCACAAACTCCCGAAATAGGGCTAAAAGAAATGCTTTGATGTTTAATGTGCTTCTGGGAAACTACAAATAGGGCTTAGTACCTTTTCCCCTCTCTTTTACTCGGTACCTGACTTTCTTTTGTGTGTCTGTTTTATTCTTTTCTTACTGTCACCATTTGTTCCCCACAGAATAAATACCTTATTCTTTTGTTAAGCTTACATTTAATTAAAATGTACAGGATTTGTGCAGTAAACTCGAATGAAACAAATAAAACAAGGGCCCCCTCTCTTGAAGGCATACGTTGTGAATGAAAAATGTCATTACAGACTAAAAAATTTTGCAGTAAACAGGGCCTACAGAGAGAAGTTTCCCCCGTAATGACATCCATAAAATACACAAATGGCACTTTTAGTACCATCCTGAATATGGCATTTTCTGTGCTCTACACACAATCTAAATGGTTTGATCATAGAGCATAATACTCCATTGGGTTTATAGAACAATCAATGTTCCATAAAATGATGTATTTATCCAATAGTAGGCTCAGCAGTTACTGGTGTATGACATTGTAGGACACTGGCTTTGTACTGTTCAGCAGCACACATGCTGGCTGTAAAACTTATCTAACACTACTTCAACAACTTCATCTCATCTGTGTCAAGTAATTTGTTGAAGCCTCAGCTTGGTTTAAAAAAACTTGTAATAAAAATTCATAGAATTTTCAGGAGAATGAAAGCTGATGACAATAGAAAGGTCACATTGTGGCTCCACTCGCGGGGTCGGGGGTCAGCCGCAGTTCTAAAACAGAAAGTAGATTTCATGCATCGTGTAGCAGATAAAGATGGCATTAAGGAGACTTGTCTCAGAAAGAAATGCGTAATGCGTTCGGAAAGTCTGGGCTAATATTATATGTAAAGCACCACTTTGCTCCCAGCCAGCGGCCTCTTTAGCATTCCAGCCCTTCCCCAAAAGTTGTCGCAAGCGGTTGGGCATGGTGAGGCTGGGCTGAGGACATCCTTCACACGGAGCACCTTTAGGACAAAGCGGTAAGTCATGAATGAAATAATCTATGACGCCGACGGAAATGATCTGCATTTACACAGCGAGCTTCAACCAGCTATTTTTCCTTTTCTGCAAAAGTTCTGGGAGGCCTGATTTACAGCGCCCTATTCAGCCACACTTA